AGCCTTGTAGCAACTTTAACAAGACTTCCTTAATTTCCTGACTTTATATTTTATGTTGATGTGAATATCAAAATATATATATATTAAATATTTTATAGAAATCTGAAGTATTTTATTTTTGGGATAACAATTTTGAAGATGTTTCAATTTTCCCAAAATTAGGTCGGATTGAATGCGTAATGTTGTTTTCTTCTTTTTCCGTATAGCCTACACTGACGGCACCTGATAATGAGACGACGTGTTTCCCGACGTCGACCCATTTCTTTCATCGCCAATTCAAACTGCACTCGTGACGCGTCTGCTTCACATTTCTTCTTTCGCTATATACAGGTCCATGTTAAATTATTTTTCGCAAGTGAAATTGTTATTGTCTAAGTGACCCCTGCTGACCAAGTATGAAAAGTATTTCGATCTACTTTGATGTTGATAATACCTGATCATTTTTCCCTTTTCCGATTCTCAAAATTGATTCGATCAAATATACGCATTTTTTCTGTGGGTTTGCATCTTCTTTTTAAACATTTTCCTCGGTATCTTGTATATTTCCGGTCATTAAACTGACGGAATCCAATGCATTCGTGTCCTATGAAAATTGACTGCCAGAGATGAGAATAGCGGACGGACATACGTACCAATTCAAAAGCCAGTCCGTTTTTTGCGAAGAGTTTCTCACAGCATTCAACTATACTAGTACTGTACTATGATAAATCTGATATGTTTTGAATGACTAGCAAATAATTCAAAAAATTTCCAGTTACATGAACACCCTGTATCAGCATTTTTGTGAATATAGTACGCATCATGTATTGGATTTGAATCTTGAAATTTCCCTCGACGACGGAGGTACATTCATGAAATACGAGATAGTACTTTGTGATATGATGACGTCATACGAGTCTATAGCTAAAAAAAAGAAAAAGTGAAAACTCATCATTCGGAAAAAACTCATTTCATCTTTATTGGCAAGTCGTCTCGTTGCTTTCTCTTATAGACCCATTATCATTGTGCCGACTGAACATATATACACACACGCAGACACGCGGAAAGTCGTAAAAGGTGGCTATTTTTCTTCTCTCTTCTGCCTCTTTCGAAGTCGATGTACCAATTACTCTGAATTAAACACAATTAGGGTAAGAAAGAAAACGGTTGTTGAACCGACGACTCTTTGTTTCTTCTTTTCCTTTCTTTCTTTCTCTCTTGGTGGGGGATCAAAACAACGGATGAACAATATGCTCGAAAGATGAGAGAAAAGAGGAATCAGGAGAAGGACAAACGGCGGCTGGCAAAAACAGAGCCGATTTTCGCGCGTCTCTCCAGAGATGTCGCCGACGGTCGGCCGGAATAATTGCGGCCAACATCGCGACTCTGTCGACTCGTCGTCGAAGCGACCGACACCAATCGTCTCGTCGGTCTCGTCGTCGACGACGACGACGTCGTCATCATCGAAACACGCGATGGCAAAGAAGCGGAAATCGTCATCGTTGTTGTCGTTGCTGCTGGATTTGCTGGAATCGATGCTGGGGAAGACGTGGCGAGGATTTTCTGAACACTGTCGCGCAATTCCGCGTCCTGCACTTTCCGCACGTACTGGGTCATCGGGCTCGTCGGGCTTTTCGGGTCAAAGTCCGTCCTCGATAACCCAATCGACGGAGACGATGACAAAGACGTCGAGTCACCTGCTGCTGCTGCTAATGGTCGACCTCGTCTGCGGGTCGTCTCGTCGACGGAGTTTTGGTGTCGCAATAAGGCCAGCTGCGGATGACGTCTGCTGGGCCCTGACGTCTCGTCGACGGACGCTGCTTGGCGTCTCAATAATAACCGATTCTCCGTCGGTCTCGTCCTAGTTGTTGCTGCAGCAGCTGCTGGAGGTGGTGCTGATGGTGGCGGCAACACACGATGATTGAGGACGACTTGAGGTCGGTTCGAGTCAATGCTGGTGGCCGTAGTAACATTCGTCATCGTGGTATCCGGAGGTTTGCGTCTGCTGCCTGTACCACCACCACCAGCAGCAGCAGCAGCAGCAGTGCTGTTTTCTTGGCAGAAAACCGGGATTGTGAGTCTTGGCAGAGTCACACGGAAGTTGTTGTTGTCATCGTCGTCGTCGTCGTCATCGTCAGCAGCAGCATTCCTAGTATTTCGCCGTCGATTGCTGTCGAGTGGTGGTGCTGCTGATGGCTGCTGTCGACGGGACGCGAGTCGAGTCGACTCACTCGCCATCGGGCGCTGATGTCCGCTATAATTACTGCTGCTGCCGCCGTTGGAAACTCTGCTGCTGGTGTCACCGCTGGCAATCGCTGCCCGGTACCTCGACGCGTTCGTGTGATTCGACTGCAAACCTCGGAGCCTGCCGCTGGTGGTGGTTCTGCTACTGCTGCTGCTGTCGTCATTGACGACGACATTTTCCGGGACGACGAGTGACGAGTTGTTGGTGTTGGTGCCGCCTGCTGTTGACGCTGTGATCGGGGTATTGTGTCGATTTTCAAACCTCCTCGCGCGCTCTTCTCGGTGCTTCTTGTTCGTTTCCAGGAGCTGGAAAAACAATTCATCGTCGATTGCGGATGATGACGACGACGACGACGACGACGATGACGTGGAAGACGACGAAACACAGTCGGGGTCATCTTGCTCGGAAATCTCTGCGAAAATTCTCGGTGCCGGGGGTGGATTTCTGCGGACAATACAGACACGAGTAGCATGAAAACAATCACTTTCATCGGCTGGAACGCTGACAATTTCTTCTGATGGCCATCAACAAAAGGGGGGCGTTGTTTCTTTTCTTTCTTTCTTTTTCTTTTGCGCATTTCTATTTGCATTCAAACTGTTGGCGGAGGATTCATGTGACATTCTGCATAAATTTCCCAATGACTGAAAAGGACACAAACGTACGGATGACATGTATATATGAACACGAACAAACACAAATGGTCTCGCGTGGAACATTATTTGGAGCGTTAAAATGTTTGCTCCTTTTCTCTCATCGTCGCTGTTAGTGGCTTGCAAACCGCAGACCCTTTCAGCTAAACATATTAGGAAAGAAAAAAGCAAGCCAGGTTTATTTCCCCATCAAGAATATGCCTCATATGTACAGTGCGTTAAAAACCCCGCCACTGCACAGGGTAATTATTTTATAAATGCTCCCAGATAAAAAATACAGCCTATCACGTGGCAATAATCCAAAGAGCGAATTCTCATTTTTTTGTTTTAATTTCAAAAGTATCAGGACCTCGTGATTAATATTTTATGATTACTGGACCATTGAAAATGAAAGAGCAACAAAAATTAAAGAAGGGGTTTCTCAAGCATTTATAATGAACATTATATTGAAGTACCGAACCTTTAAACACTACATGCAATTAGACTAACTGGGTTAGTGAGTATTTTCCATTAGCGGATTCCCTTGGGATGCATAAATATAAAGTCAGCCAGAAATCGTGCGATCAGTTCTGCATGTTCAACCATTCTTTTTGTCGTACAATATAGGTTCGTTATGTACAGTAATACATCATTCACAACTTTAAGATGACGATGATGATGATGATGATGCTGAGGCTGCAAAAGGTCTTTGGGATTTGTACAGGGCAGTATATATAGAGGGAAATGACGGCTCCCATCATTGATTGATTGATTGATTGATTGATTGCATGCAATGCAGTAATGCAGCTGGTCTTGTCTCTGTGTCTCGCTTTCACCTGGAAATGGAGATTAGAAGACTTGCACCCGGTGGTTTTCCCGGTCGCAAACAATGACGTTGCCACTGGTGGTGACTGCCAACCCCTCCAGGGCCTTGAATTCCCCAGAACCCGAGCCCCAGGCCCCGAACTCGTGGAGGAACACACCGTCGGGGGTGAAAATCTGGATCCTGTTGTTGCCCGAGTCTCCCACGAAAATGTAGCCCTGGTCGTCCACTGCTACCCCTCTGCAAATATTAAAAAAAAACCACAAGCAATAATGAATGAATCAATACATCCAACAACGTCACTCTTTCTTTTCTTTATTATTATTTTTTAAATCGTGAAGCACACATTGGAAAATAAAACATCTATATTAAATACCCATAATACTGTACTATGAACATGATTATATATGTACTGTATATATATGAGACAGCTACAAATTTTGACACTTCAAACATTATTTCGTCAAAACACTGCGTTAGCCAGAGAAAAGAAACTTAAAAGTCGAATACAGGAATTAAAAAACTTAATACTACATAATGCATGTTTCTCTTTGAAAAAAAAAACGCTTTTCAACTTTTGAAACAAAACGCAATATTATTTTTTTCTCTCAGGATATCAATCAAGGATTGAAAGAGGTTTCCTGTGTAGAAACTTCCAAAGAAAAAGTATTGGGGAGATGACACGCAAAAGACCTTCTTCATTGCTAGAGTTTTAAAACTTCACGCATTGTCTCATCTTGATGAAATAGCATTGGGTCCGTAAAATTTGAAGATTTATTTTAATTTTTTAAATTAAAATCACGTTCAGGCAAGGAAGAAGAAATATACGCATATATTTTCTTTGCAGTTGCAGCGTAATAAGTTGGTGATTCGGAATCACTCCAACAAACGATTCAACTATGGGAGAATCTTACATCATGTGAAGGTTAAATTCTTTTGGCAGTGGGATTAGGCGGAATAAGGCAACTCAATTCTTGCGTATTAATTTGTGCGCCAAAATTAGTACTGATTCACAGAGGGCTGTTTATTTTTTTATTTTTTCAAGGCTCCCGTCCCTCTCACCACCAGCATCGACCCGTAATTTTCGCTTAATTCGCCTCCATCATCATCAGGTCTTCGCGTAACTTGAATTGCAAAAAAGCTGTTTGTGGACTGCTGGATGAAAACGCGGTTTCCGAAACTGAAATAAATTATTGTTTGACATTTTAACTTTGCTCTATATTTAACTTTGAGTGCACTGTATACTATAGACTATATTTCTTTTGTCGCCCATTTTTTTCAGGATGGGAAATTTATATATAGGAACAAGATTTTGATAATTGAAATAAATTCTCTCGCTCACCTGGGAAACTTGAATTGCGCCTCATCACTACCTTCGGAGCCGAAAGTGTTGAGCACTTTTCCGTTGACGTCGAAAACCTGAATCCTGTGATTGTTGCTATCAGACACTATGACCCGGTTTGTGGACGAGACTGCGATGTAGTGCGGGGAATCCAGTTGACCCGGATTCTTACCCAGGGATCCGAATTTCCCGACAAATGTTCCGTCGCTCTGAAACACCTGTATAATAATAATAATACGACTCCTCAATCATTTTGTTGGGCCTTCAAGTGAAGCATATAATCTCTCTGCATTATTCTTGATAATTCCGATTTTAAAATGAGATAAAAAAAATACAAGTATTACAAACGGGGTCTCTACAGTCTACAGTACACTACACTGCACACTTAATTCAACTCATCAGACCCGAGAAACTTAGACATAAGTGTTGGTATAGTGACATCTGTTGGGGAAAAAAGGTCTCATCCAGAAATGACTCCTAGCTCAAGTTTTCCTAGTTTTTAGAATGTGATACAGTACTTCAATTTAGTTTGCCTTGATGATCAAAGTTCGGCGCAAGTAACCAACAACATACTGTACATGTATCAGCAATATAACAGGTTTTAAGCAATCTCGAGGTTGGCACATGTTTTATCAACATTTCTCCCAGGCGGGGGGAAAACGAAAAAAAAAATAGAGGAAATAAATATGCCAGGAAGTGACGATGATAATCAAGTGGGGCGAACCTGGATCCGGTGATTTTCTTTGTCGCAGACGTAGATGAAACCCAGGGCATCGGTGGTGACCCCCCAGGGATAGTTGAAGCGACCGTCGGCAGACCCCTGGGCCCCGAATGACCTCAGGAATCTGCCGCACGGGTCAAACACTTGAACCCGGTGGTTGTAACGATCCGAAATGATCAGCTGGCCGATCCTGTTCACCGCCACTCCTGATGTATATATTCCAAAATTCCAAAATCAATCATCGAAATAATTCTTGCTACATGTATTTAATATAACCCCCTTCTCGTCCATCTGTGAACGTTGACAAAAGTGATATTTTCTACGCCTTCTCCGCGCGGGTGCATCAGTGCCAATTCTTTCTAGTTTTATTATAGGTTAGGTAGGTAGGTGTCACAGACAACAGCAAGGAAATTTTCTCTCTGCGATTAAAAGAAATAATGACGAAAATTCCATCTGCTGCTCAAGGCCGGCAGCGCTATTATGTGGATATTGCTGAATTTTCTGAAATTGATTTCCATTGAAGTACAGTACATTGTTGTAAAAATAAAAAAAAATAATGAAATGCAGCAGTTTAGTGGTAAATAAAATGGATGACCTATATATACCTGCGAGACAGTCAAACTCGGCCTCTCCGTTCCCATACGCCCCGAACTCGGACAGGAAGTGGCCCGATTCGGAGAAGGTCTGCACTCGGTGGTTGGACGAGTCGGCGACGACGATGTGGTTGTCCGGAGTCACGGCCACGCCTCGGGGCCACGTGAAGTGGCCTGGCCCGCTGCCCCTGGCCCCGAACCCGACCAGCACCCGTCGCTTCTGCAGGTACTGGTTGCGCGGGTGCTGGGGACACGCGTCCAGCAGCAGCTTGGTTTGCTGCTCGTGCTGCTGCTGCTTCTGCAGACGCTGCTGCTGCTTCGTGTCGTCGTCCGAAGACCCGTCCGGGGACCCGTCCCGCAGGGACGAGGCCAGCGAGCTGTGGCTCCGGCTCTTGTTCAGCAGCCGGCTTCTTTCCTTGTACCTTTTTTTCATTCATTCATTTTTATTTTTATTTATTTATTTCTTCAAGGCGTTTCTAATCGTCAGAAATGACAACGCGACAGTGCTGCGACATAATAATCCCAGTTGTGTACTGTATATCAGATCCAAAAACAAATTTCAGGCTGATATGGTGCTTCACATATATATTGAGGGGGGGGGGGGTAATAATGAAAGGGTTGATTTGCATTAATAACTCGTGATTTATTTTTCGTCATTGAGGACATTTCTCCTAAAATTTCCATTGCACATGATTTACTCGAATCCCGCTGATCATAAAAAGCTATATGCAGGTGGACCCCCTCTACAACGAAAAATGAAGGTACTGTATACCACAAAAAATTCGTTGTACGAGGAATTTCATCATTTAATGTCCTTATAACACGAGGAGAGAAATTTATTGGGACTACAATTAAATGCGGTGCTGAGAGAAAATCGTTCAACACAATAGATCGTTGTTTTGCGATATTTCACCCGGGATGGGTCAACTCGAGTTGGGTTTGGTCAGCGATTTACCTGAGAATTGACTGACGTTAAAGAAGAACGAATAAAGGGTGGCAGACAGTGTCGGAGAAAAGAAAATAATTAGTACTCAAACGAAATGTAATAAGCCTTTGGCTCGTATTCTATCGATAAAGGAACTCTTGATTGCTATTTACGCTAAAAGAAACTTCGCCTCATTTTCTTTCATATCCTGAGATAATCTTCATTGAAATTTACTTTTCATTTTATTTTTTCGATGGTCTCTGATTATAACAGGGATGCTTTGACGTACCGATTGCCGTACTTGTTCTTCAAGTATCGAGCCCAGGAGCTGAGATGCGATGTTTCCGTCTCGCCGTCGACACCGGGTGTCGATAAAGATGTCGCTGCCGTCGACGTAACTGACGTCGACGGGGTCGTCATCGATGATGTCACGGTCGTGCTTTCGCCGACGCCGTCGGAGCGGTAGAGCATGGTGGCCCTGTCGTCATTTTGGCTCGTCACGACGCCGCTGTCGTCGTCGTCATCGTCGTCGCTGTTGGCATCACTGACGCGTTTAGGCGGCTCTCGGTTCTTTTCGCCGCCGTCTGTTCTATTGGTGTGGGTGTCGCCGAGGCCGGAGGAAGAGCTCGTGTTGCGGGCGGACCCCGGGTTGCTGTGGAACAAATACAGACATGAGGCAACAAAAGTATATTCACGTCACAGTGAAATATAATGTACAGAAGAAATTCAACAATTGAGGCAATGTTATTCAAGGTTAGAATGTTTGATTATGATGACATTGTTCTATTCTGTTGAATAAGCCGATCTCGTCAAAACGGAGTACCGGTAATAAAGTCGTCCATATGAATAGGTAAACATGATGTGCTGTCCCAGCAGTTGGACGTGATCTGTAATAATTTTGGAGTGTACTTGTGCTTGTAAAAGAGAAGAAAAAAACAATCTCGAGATATTTATTTTTAATGTTTCTTTATTTTTATGATCCGCGCGGTGTGTTTTCATGAATTGTAAATAACGCTTTTCAATTTACTGCTATAGATGATAAGCGGAAACTTTCCAGCTACAGCCAGAGTTCTTCACTCAAGTCACAGGAACGTGCTAAAAATGTGCTGGGCCGCCTAAAAAATGTGACTTTTTTGTTGCTGTTTCGTGAAGCTTAAAATGGGAAAAAATGTTCTGGCGATAACTAGATCAGGACTTATCAGGGAAGAATATTCCCTCGAATAAAGTACTACACTTTCTTCCATGACAAGTGAACCAATAAGCTCCAGCAGTAAAAGTACTCAATCATATCCAGAACAATCGAACTGAAAACCTATATACATACGTACGATGACTCGGAGTTGATTTTAATGCTTTATTCGAGAGGTATATTTGGATTAGTGATTCAGAGACCAAGTTTCTTTACATCAGAGAGTTTTTAATTTTTTTTACAAAAAAACAATGGTGTTTTCGGCAACGAGGCTTGAATTTTCCATCCTTTTTTCTGATGAAGTAAATTTCGAAAAATTATTGTATCCCATCATATGGTTAAAATATGTAAGCATTAAATTCTGAACCTTAATTTTTTCCAGAATATAAAGAAAACATTGGAAAGTATTTTCTGAAAAAACAGCGGATACATTTCTCATCTCCTGCTGCATTTTAGTACATATAGTAATGTTGTTTCCCTCAGTATATCAACAGATGGAACACAAATATTTGCCTTTATTCAGAGGAGTCATCGCCGGTCTCCGAATAAAGATAGAGTTAAAAATGGGGGATAACGTACATCATCAGCACTGAGAAGACGTTAGAATAATTATCCTAATAATGATGATCCCATCATCACGATGGACAATTCACATGGAATAATTATAAGAACGCGCTGCTTATTCATCATCAGCAATAATAATAATAATAATAATAATCTGAGTACTGCTGCTGTAGCACGGATTTCATCATCCCCCATCAGCAGCTTGGAAAGAAATCAATAGGAGGATGAGCCAGACGAACAACGCGTGTTTTGAGAAAACCAAGGGGAACGATGATAATGAGCAGCAGTGCGACAACGACACGAGTAGATGGGCGGAAGAAGAAGAAGAAGAAGAAGGAGGGTAGTAGTCTTGCCTCATCGTTGGTGCATCCCGGGAGCCGCCATGCGGACGATCTGATAATAACTGCTGCTGCTGCGGCGGCTGTGGCTCTTGGTCGCCGCCCTGCTGATGGTCCATGTCGTCGTTTATCGCAGCAGAGCTCTTACTTCGGTTTAAAAAGCGGCTGTAGACGGACGCCCTCGGCGTGTAAGTGTCGGGCGAGTCGTACAAGTTCGGCCGGGACCGGTTGTAGTACTTGCTCGCCAGGGACGAAGACGTCGTCGAGTCCGTCGAATCGTACCTGTTGTATAAATATAGATACAGCGGGAACACAAACCCCCATCCTGATTTAATTTCGCTTATTTTTCAATGCTGTTGTTGTTGTTGTTGTTGTTGACAACCCCCGCAGTTAGCTTCCGAGACGTGTTACACGCTTTATTCGAAAAATTTAAAGAACTTTTCAATTTCCATCAGATGATAAAATTAAGTTGCGGGTCTTATTATTACCAAATATGTTTTCCTTGGAAAATTTGAGAAAGGAAGATTTTGCTTCATATAATAGGGCATAGTTTCTTTCGAAACGTACGAGACCGACGAGAAATTGTTTTTCTAAATTTGTATACTAATATACGCGCAGTTTTGGATCGCTGAAAGTGTTTATTCGTTAAATAAAACTTGATATATTATTGCATTCAAACCAGTCTTTAATCGTTTCGTTATAATGGTGGTTATGCTGGTTCTATTTCATGTTGTCTACACTATACAGTATAAATATCTTGCGTTTACTTTGAAAGTACAAAAAAGAAAAGAAAAGATGAAATAACATCGCCCTAATATCTCAATTTGTGTTCGAGAGTACAGTATAAGTAATGTACACAAAAGGTGCGACGATGAGAGAATGTGCTCACGTGTTTTCTGTTTTTGTTTTTGTTTTGAACACGGGTATTTTCGACATAAATGGAAGAAAAGACGAAGAAGAAGAAGAAGAAGACGAAGAAGACGAAGAGGATGAGGAGTATAGCGGGGGAGGAGGAGGAGGGAGAGAAGGAGGAGAAGGTGATGCTATAATTCATAAAAGGCACGGGTTTGTTTCTTCTTTTTCTTTTTTTGTACAGCAGGTATAGGGAAAGATGATGAGACGCGATGAGTGTTTTTTTCTTTTGGATTGTTTGTTCTTTTTCTCGAGTTTCGGTGTCGATTCTCGGCGTCATCGTCTGTCATTCATCACATCCCCCAATTGAAGATCATGGAAGGTGATGGAGCATCGTAGTGCATGTGGGTCATCATCATCATCATCATCATCTGCGTGTCTACCTTCCGAAGCGGGACGTGCGAGGCGTCATCGCCGACGACGACGAGGACGAGTAGGCGGACGGTGTCGAGTACCGGCTACTGCTCGTCGTCGATGACGTCGACGTCGACGTCGGGTGGTAGTCGTTGTTGCTGCTACTCATCGTGCCTGAGTAGAGATTCGACGCCGTCTTGGAGCGCGAGTAGGAACCCGGTTCCGTCGACGACGACGTCGTGGCTGTCGAGCGGGCGTTGGCACTGCGCGCCAGCAGCGGCCCGATGTCAGTCCTGTCGATGGCTCGCTGCCGAGGCGTCGATGTCGACGGCGGTGGCCGCTCGAACTGGTCCTCGTCACTTTAGCAAAAACAAAAGATAATTAAAATGAAAAATACGAATGAAGGAAAAGCAAAACAAAAATGGGGACAATTTGTAACCAATATACGAGGAAGCGAATAATTATCGACTGCATTATTAGTGTATTTTATAAACGCTGCCTGCAAGGGTTTTATTTCCAAAAAATCTCAATTCTTCATTTTACCTCAATACTGTATAAAGTAGACGAGCAAGGGAAAAATATCAACCAAAAGAGTCTTACATTTTTCAAGTTTTAACTATAAAAATCAGTCCAATTAACAATTGCATATTATACTGTGCTGTACTTCCGAAAAGTGCTGCAGCTATGGGAAATGGTTTAAATTTATCTAAGCGCAGTCATAGGTGTCGCCGCTTTCGAAAAATGTTTCGGGATGGAAATAATCCGAGTGCTGCTGATGCTGCTGCATGGGCAACTCGCGTCTATATACAGTATACCACTCTATTTCCAAGTTTCTGGACTCGAGAAAAAAAAAACATATGAAGACGAAGCAGGATACAGTACTTGTTTCTGATGCTGCTGGATTATTTGAACCTACAAGTCATGTACAGTACTCTAAAAGAAAGTCTCGTCATGCGTACCTGTCACTGTCGCTTTCTTCACTGCTACTCGCGGATTCTCTCGAGCGCCTTGTTTGCTGCCCGGCCCCCGATGCCGCCGCCGCCACCGGGCCGTGAGTAGTTGAAGCTTGGCCTAAAAAACGACTCCGGAAGCCTGAGGAAGTCGAGTTGTTATTATTGCTGCTGCTGCCGATGGCGGAACTGACGGTCGTGGCTTCTGCTGCTGCTCCGTTGTTGTTGTCGCTGCTGGTCGTCCGCCCGAACCGGCCTCGCAATTCCTCCGTGGAGAACGCAGCTCCTACATATATATATGTATATGTTTATTCATAACAGTAAACAGTAAATTGGACGGACGATGATGATGAGGAGATGAGAGACACATGCAAGTTGCATGATTATCATCAATCTCCCGTGTCATTTTGATTCCAATCAATCAGTTATTACTGAGGAATCCCTCCATCAACTATAGCATAGACGAGGTGTGATGAGTGCTGATCAGCATGAGAAACCGAAAACCAAAAGATCGATCTACAGTAATATAAATAGTGCGATGATTTCCTTCTCGCAGCAGCAGCAGATGCAGCTGACGAGTATTCAATGAATTGAAAAAGTTAAGTGTTCGACTCCAATTCATCACTGAATAAAGGCAAATTCTTGAAACTCTGTATAAGGAGAGTTGAAAACTGGCGAAAGTAACTTCTCCATCAAATGACGAAAGGTACAATACGTGTATTATTAAGACTTTCAAAGAGAAAACCAGTCAATGTACTGAACTGCACAGTACTGTATCTCGAACTTTTGGTTTCACAGTTGTTTGCTGGTCTACTCACCGTTGCGTAGTTCAGTGCATAGGCTTAAGACTTTTTTTCCCACACCTGCAGTAATCTTTTATTTTAAATTTATATAAAGCCCTATATATGATGAAAGACGGAAAATTGGTTATTCTGGATCGATGCTTTTCTGCGACAGTGGCATTTTAAAGCCGCTTTGAAAGACGTAAATTGATGAACCGCCATTCTCAATGCTCTTTTGCGTGCTCGCGTTTCGACAATGATTTTTTGTTGTTGAAGTTCTGCTTTTTAATTTTGTCTGGCAGAGTAACTCTGCTGGCCACTCAATAAATGCGTCAGTTTATTCCTCTCCAGCCCGATGTGAGCAAATATGAGGGATCATCATCCCAAGATTTCTTCCGCCGCCATATAGTCCGTCAGTGTCGCCAATATTTGGCGCATTTGTGTCGCACCTGATCGACGTCTGCGCAGCACGTTTATGCGTGCTATGATTTCAGAAACGATTTCGTCATCAGTGCTGCTGGTGGATTCGATTCGAGTCCACCCCACATCAAGAATACTTCTCTCTCGATAATACATACATACACTGTATTCTATATATATACAGCATATGCACTAAAACATATACAGTACAGTACAATAATACACAAGGAGAAACACGAATGTCTCATCCTTGATTATTACTGTATTTCGATTCTTGCCTGTGTTGCGGACAGGAGACGCGGCGGCGGAGGACGACGAAGCGGTCGAGGAGGACGACGAGGAGCGCCTGAGCCGGGACTGGACCGGCGCCGCGTCGTCGGTGCGCAGTGGCGGCGGTGCCGGGGCCTGTGCCGCCACTGTCGCTGTCGACGTCGAGAATCCTGTCGAGCTGGAAGAGGGAGTCGGTGAGTCGGGCGGCGGCTTGAGGCTCTGGACGCGCCACGGGACACTCGACCTGGCCTCCTCCCTGTCAACGACACATTTCCACCACCCCGCGTTTCTTTCTTTTCTTTCTTTCTTTTCTTTTCTTTTCTGCCAGCCATATGAGGCCAAACATTCACATGTACATATATGTACAGTACGGTACGTACAACATCACCGGCATCATCATCAGGGCTTCCTTTTCCATAGACAGCACGCAGACAATAAAGACGAGCAGCCGAAGCACAACAAGGGCGAAAGCTAATCTCATGTCTATACTGTACTGTACACAGTTGTTTCGTGATTGCACTCATCTATTCTCGGCAAATAACTCTCTATATATATACTGATACAGCTATAGAATCTATACGTATAGCGAAAGAGAGAAGAAACATTGATGTTGAGGAACGGAACAAACGTGTGCTTTTGTTGTTGTTGTTGTTGACGACGACATTCTTCTATTGCAACTAAGATATATTATCTACATTTTAATTCCGTCAAACTACGTCACACGTCACAAACTAATATTATCTTTTGTTTGTCCGGCTGGTCACTATATATTAGAGCTTTTCTCTCTTTTTTTTTTTTTACAAATTTTCACAAAATTAGATTGCAGATGAAATCTTGGGGTTGCGATTGTTGAAGGACATGCAGCTGATAGTTTGGAAAATGCGTCGTAGACTTTCAGGATGTGACTGCGGGGAGACTGATTTCGACAAGCCAGTAAAAGGTCCGATTGTGTGCATGTTGTCCAAGAAGAACAAACCACGTCCAATCAATGTGTGTATGGGAATAACGGGGGGAAAATTGCATGCAGAATGTCACATGAAAAGCCTCCTTATTATTCTCGTCCTCACTGTATCCAGAGGACGACGCTTCTTTTTCCTTCCCCCCTTTCTGCTTTTGAAAAAAAATAATAAAGGTTTTGTACTTATCCTTACCATTTTGTTTTCTTCATATCCTTCCGCGTCGGGAAATAATAGAATTACTTTTGTTTTCTTTTTCTTTTGTATATTTGCCTGGAACTGCTGTGATGCTGGGGGGGAGGGGGGAGGAGGAGGGGGAGGCAGGGCAAACCTGGAGTTTCGTTGAGCTCTCGACACTGACGCTGTCGTGGAAGAGGCGTCGGTGGACGACGAAGTCTTGCGCGAGGAAACGGCGGAATTGCCGTCGGTGGACGCCGTGGTTGCTGACGACGACTGTCGACTGTGTGCCGGAGACGCGGATGTCATGGCTGCTGCATTTGCTGATATATATACGATGCATTTTGCCATATTTATGTGTGAAGTGATTATCAATTACTGTACTTCTTTGACAACTTAATGCGAAAAAAAGGATGCTCACAGTTGGACGAAGAGTCGACAGTGTCTCGGTGGTACGAGAGTGCTGTGCTGGCAGTCGTCGGTGTTGTCGGTGTGCTCGGAGTGCTGCTGGGCACCGCCGTCGAGGCAGTGTTGCCAACGGCGCCGCCGGAGTTTTGCTGTTCCTGCCACTGTCGATTCATCCGCTTCTGCTTGGTGATCTCGTCTTCTTCCGACACTTGTCTCGACGCTGCCCTTCGCTGGTAACTCGGCGTCTGCAAATTCGAGTGAAATCGACTTTCATTTCTTTATTCAACTATAGTAACCCAGTAAAATAGCTCGACAACAAAACTTTTTGGGACTTGGGGAAAAGTTTGTTGCGCTGATTAATTTGGTATATGATAAGAGTTCCAAAATTAATGACTGACTGGAGAAACTGTACGCATCAGAAACCTGTCTATAAACAATTATATATTGCTTTTCTTGCGTTTACAGAATTTTTTATAATTGTTTGAAAGTGATTTTTTGAAGAGAAAGCAAAAGAAGGTTTCAATCATGCATTTCATCAATTTCCCCATTTCATCTTCATTCTAGGAGGATGGTGAGTGCTGGCCTTAGAATCAATTGAACATTCCTCAAAAATGTTTGCTATACTGGAATAGCGAAGTGTGGCTGTTATAACAAGATCGTTTTAAAATTTACTCTTTGGGCTTTTTGCCAGGACTTATTGAGAAAAAATGTGGCGTAATTTAAAAGTTGGTTGCTACTATGTATTCGCTATGAAGAGATTCTAAGGTATTCGTTATTTATTTCGAATCCTGTCTTTGTGTATTTTTGACTCTCGAAAGAATAAGGCGTGTAATGAAATACATATACTGTAGTATAGTTGGTCATCCACAGTTTGTCACTAATATGCAGTAAAAATGCGTGATATGTATAAGTTTCACATACAATAATAACAAACGCACAACAAAAAAGAAGAGATTGGATAAAGAATAAAGGTGCAGCGCGTCGTATGCGGGCTTTCATCATCATCACGAACCGTAGTGCTGGATGAAGAAGTGGAAGTGGACGAGGCAAGTGATAGTGGAGACGATGTCGTCGTGTTGCTCAGAGCGGGTTTCACAGCCGGACTGGTCGTGCCCACTTGCTGGTACTTATTGTTGGTGCTGGTACTGGTACTGGTGCTGGTGCTGGGTCGGTCCTTCTTGCGGTCCTTGCAATCGTTGTCCTGCAGTCGCTTGTTGATTCGGGCCGAGTCGTGGAGCCTCAGGATGCCACTCAGGGGACCCTTGGTCACGTCCTCGGTGTCCAGAACCCGTTCCCGGGGCGGCTGCGGCGACGCCGGCCGAGACTGGCACCGACTCTTGGGGTTGTTCATCTCCGAGTCGGAGTCGTCGTCGTTCACGCCGAGGGCAGCTCGAGTGAACCTCGACCTGTACCTGTTCCTCTCAACAACAAAATAATCATTCAGAAAGAGACAACAACAACAAAAGAAGCATTAGCAAGTCGGCCGATTTAAATCAGGACCAAAAACAAAAAAGGAACGTATACGGTTGTACACTATATTCAAATAGGGAACCCCTTTGTGTTCAAACGATATACGGTATTATTCTGCAGGTGAACCTTGTACTGTATATATATACGTATGACCCACGATTGTTGGGATCCACGACTGCTGCATCACGAAACTATAGCAAAGATGGATTTCAAAATCAAAAAGGGGCACACGAATAAAGATGAGTTTGGATATATAATAAGAGTCACGAAGAAAACAATTTCATTTTTGGGAGCCCAACACATTATTTCCAGAATATAGCCCTATAATTGTTGGAAGGGTTGCTTATTATAAGTCAATCGATGATGAGCCATTAATTTAAGAAAGTCCATCCGAGTTAAAAGAAAAATTGCATTCAAAACACTCAGAAAAGTGCAAAAAAACACACAGACAATCGCGACCATTTTTGTTTTGTCAATTCCAGGGAACAGACAATTGAACAAGCTTGTTTTTCTTTTCTGAACACAATCTTCCAAATAAAAATAATATACCGTGTTTTTATTATCCAGCGGGAAGCTTTGTTTTTCGGATTGCTCATCATTTCTAAGGAATTTATAAAATTTAGATATTCATACATATGTTCCAGGCCAGCATCCAGATGACTTCGTCAAACTTGTCAAAACTTTCTGAATTATTTCGCAGAGGGCTTATTTTGGCGTAACCACACTCATATGCATATATACTGCAAGCAATAATGAGTGAAAAAAGATTCTAGTGCAACAAGATAAGAGTTTCAAAACACACACAAAAGAAGTTGCATCAAAATAATTATTCGATTATTATTCATTTATTTAAGTGCATGGTATACAGTATATCAAATATAAATCACCTGGATCGGACGCCTGACCGCGACGAGTCGTGGTCGTTGTCGGCGACGCCGTAGCGGCGCTTGCTCGCGTCACTGCCAAACAGCTGCTTCGCCAGCATCTCTTCCTGCTCCTTGAACTGCGCCGCCAATCGGTGGTCGCTCTTGCTCCTCAGCAGCCCTGGCACGTTGGCCGAGGACGCCGAGCTGAGGCCGCCACTGCTGGTGAAGCCGCCGCCGCCGCCGCCAGAACCGGAGGAGGAGTTGTTGAGCGAGGTTATGGTGGTGGTGGGGAAGACTACTTCGGCCAGGTTCGAGATGCCGGCCACCAGGGAACCCGGGTCCTGATGCATGACCAGCTTGAGGCGTCGGTTGTAGTCGTGGGCCTCGCAGTCGAAGTTGCGGATGAACTCGACCGTCTTGAGGTAGTTGAGTTTGGCGTCCAGCAACTCCACGTCGTCCCACTCGGACGCCTCGGTGAAGTGCTTGTCGGCCAGCTCCGAGTTGCTGTTGATGTTGGACAGCTCGGTGTCCAGGTTCTCCTTGAGCAGGGCCAGGTTCTGCTGCTCCGAGGACAGGTACTTCTCCACCTATATATACGAGTAAATATATGCGAGAAAATTGAAAATTGTTTTCGTCTGCTGCCATCAGTGCATTATATGATTGAGCAAATATTACTATGCTTCCACAGGTATACGACGTACTTTATACCGGGAAAGCATATTTGAAAAAAATTTAGTAGATTAAAAAATTAATATAAAAAACCACGTTTTCAAAAAGCAAAAAATAACCTTAAATGTGGTTCGCATCTATTTCATTTGTATTTCACTTCTTCCCAACAATCTCCATGCGCACCACGTTTAAGGTTATTTTTTGCTTTTTTAAAACGTGGTTTTTTAGATTAATTTTTTAATCTACTAAATTTTTT